CTCCATTATATTATAATAATAATAATAATAATAATAATAATAATAATAATAATAATAATAATAATAATAATAATATCTGTTTAGAGCTTAAGGTGGTATGCAGGAACTTTTCTCTTTATCAGCTTCTTTCATATCCTAGCTTCTTTTAGCAATACTTTGTCAAGCAGAAACTTTCTCATGATTGTCCTTAATTGCAGAATTTTCTGGAGTCAGGTTAGCTATCTCCTTCCCTCACTTTTGAAGGGAGATAAAAGTCTTCTTGCTTCACAGTGCTTTTCTGTTTCATCAGAGGGACAGGTTTGGGAGTTAGATCTTGGGCCATTTTTAAAAAGTTGCTATGTTATTTTATTTTCATATGTAATTTTAGATTATAATGTTAAATTAATAGCTGTTTTATTTGATATTTTAAAACTTTCTCCTAAACCCTTTGTGAGCCATATCGTTTGACATATTGTACCAGGTATTGCAGACTGAGTGATATATAGCTTACGTTCCTGCAACACTTTCAGGTTCAGTTCTTTTTTGCTGTTTGGACTGAAAAAAAATTCAATGTGAAACTCTGGAAGTTGTTTCAGTTAATGTCAATAATAATGGGCTGAATAAACCAATGATCCAATGCAGTCTGAGTTCCCTAATGTTGTAGGCATTAATTGCATATGGGATGAAGTATGATGAACATTAGCATGAGATTATAGCATTAAAGTTATGCTATAATACATTTATTAGTATTTAAGGCAGCCATAATGTCTAGGGAATTTGTGGAGCTGAGGTCACACACTGGAGAATATCCATTTGGGGATGGCTGTTTTAAAATGCACATGACTATTTTGTCAGGTTCCTCATCATGTTATCCTTTGACCTCATTAAAATAATGCTGGGATCTGTATCATTTTTAGGGCTCCAAAGAGGAAGTTGAAATGGCTTACACAACTTTCCTGCTTAATTCAGACAACATTTCTTCTAAAATAACCTCGCCAGAGCAATAGAAGCAATCAGCCGAATAGTCTCATTTGGGACGGTTCTGAAGACCAGCAAAAACTAATTATGCCTTAATGACTGAAGACAGATCATGACTGGAATCAACAAACAAATTCTTATACTCATTGAAATTCTGATAATTTTCCTGAATTGTTTCAGTTCTATCACTACTTATCCAGTTAGACACTTCTAAGTCTGGTATATTGCTTTAAGAGTAAACAGCTTCATTCAAATTGAAGAATAAGCTTCTTAACTTTATAAACACAACTGATTGTTTTTTGAAATGATGTTTTAAGCCATTGCCTGCATAGAACAGAAATGCATTTGTTCAGGAATTTTGCATGTGTGATTTGGTTGTCTTCATACAGAAACCAGAAACTCTAGAGATCCTAATGGGAATGCATTTTCATAAAATATTGGATTACTCAATCGGGGGCATGGAGGGACTTTTTTTTTTCCATTACATGAAACCAACATCAAGTTAATAAGCATATAGTATTCCCTCTAGAGCGTTCAGGGAACATACATCAGATTATCTTTTTTTTCATCTTGACAACTTTGTTCTGATGTCTTTAGGTCAGTCTTTCTCAAACTTGCTAGGTTTAAGATGGGTGGACTTCAACTCCCAGAATTCCCCAGTCAGCATGGCTGGCTGGGGAAT